GCCTAATTCTGATTAATCCAGTGATAATCCATTTTTCCTAGATGGAAGTTTCCATTCCCACCACCACCACCAACCCCTCTGGATTCAGCCACGTTGGGCCATGTGGGGTGAGGGGACATGAAGGCGTAGAGCCTGGCACCGCCAGCCCTACCAGCTCTGATTGAATTAGTCCTTCTCCCTGCACGAGGCCCAGGAGGCATTTCCCTATTAAAAGGGACTTCCACTTATTGTCTTTATTTTGAAATGTTTTGTGGAAAATTAAAAGATGAGTGACTGCCAGGCAGTGCCTGAGCCAACAACCCAGAGAACATCTGTGGTTTCTTCTAAGTCTGACCAGAGCGGACCTGGAATCGACCCAGCACTCCCCAGGCTCCTCTGCCTTCACTTATTCTCTGGGCTGCTCAATTCCTTTTAAGACACAAATTGATTGGGATAATTTTTGCTATAACTACAATTGCCATGGAAAGGAGGAGGGGGGATACATTCAGGCTGGGGACTCCTGCAATGACTGTGAACCATAAGTTACTGTAAAATGACCAGAAAATGGATTCAAAATTGAAGCCACAAATAATGTAATTACTGCAGTGTGTGCTCAGGGCTGCCAGAACAAGGGTTGGCTGCTGCCCTGGAAACATCTAGAGAGAAAACTGCTGCTGGTGATGCTGCTGCTGCAACCCCTGCCCTGGTCCTTGGAGGTAGCATTGATCTTCCAGGCTGGAAGATCCTCAGAGAACTGAAGAAAAGTGGGGGGACAGGAAAAAGAATTTGGAGAGAGGCCAAAGGCAGGAAATAGATGGAGGACAGGGATGATGTCTCCTGCTACCCAAGAACGAGGTCTCATCACCACATCTCTGGCAAAATGAAACCCAATGTGGATGTTATCAACATAATATCACCACCATTGTCACACCCATCGACACCAATACATCAGTGCCACCATCCTTCCACAGTGGTATCACCTCCACTCAACAATGTCAGCAACACTGTCACTACCTCTGCCATCACCACCTCTATCGCTGTTAGGACAGCAATATCTGTGTCAGTGCCAGTCCGACCAATGCCAGTGTCATTACCCTTCCTACCTGTGTCGTCTCTGTTACTGTGACAGCAATAACATCATCATCATCACTGATCTTGACACCATCAGAATTTCTGTCATGTGACTCCATTCAAATCAGTGTCACATCACCACTCCTAGGATCCTCATCACCATCGTTGCCGTGACAGCAACATCTTCATCATTCTCAGTCTCAGTCTCAACATCACCATCACCATCCTACTGATGCTGTCATCATCATCACCACTATTGTCACCTCCTCTCTCCTCAAGGCTTATATCACTTTTGTCATTACTGTGGCTGTCATCACCATTACTGTGGTGATATTGACAACTTTATCATCAATCTGAACATCAACATCAACACTAGCATCCCTATTGCTATCACAATATGCCCAACAATGTCACCTTCATCAATGCATCACTATTATGGTCTATACCCTTGTGATGTGGCCTTCACTATTGCAATTGCTTTTATTTTATTTTATTTTTTTTCCTCCGGTACCGGGAACTGAACTCACGATCTTGTGCTTGCCAGGCAGGCGCTTTGCCGCTGAGCTAAATCCCCAGCCCCTGCAATTGCTTTTAAAGTTACCTTTACTGTTATCCTAACAATCAATATCCAAACAAAATCACTTTCTTCAAGAGCATTCTTATAACCCTATGCAACATGATACTTTTTTGGTCTGCTCTCCCCTGCCTCCATCAGATAAGATTCCCAGACCTTGGGAGTAGGAAAGACCTGGGAGATTGGGTTGTGTGGGGTTAGGAGAGGTGGCGTAGCATCATCTAGCCTGCTTCAAGGCATTGATCAGAGTGGGGAATCCAAGAGGCATACTCTTAGAAGCAGTAGTGGGAAGTAGGAGACATACAAGTATTTCAATCAAGTCTTCAATCTGAACATCCTTGGGGTAAAAGACAATAGAGACAAGAAGTTCTGGGACAGAAAGCAGGGATATCAGAAGATAGCTGGGAGGTTCAAAATGGAGGCAGAACATGAGAATCCTACAGATTATAAGATGACCACAGCCTCAGGCTTGGACAAGACACAGTGACCAGGCATGGAGGGCTCTCACTTACTCCCTGTGACCATCTGTTCCATGTTGGTATCCAGTTTCAATAGCTACAGAGTGACTTACATATGGCCTTGGGGCACAGTGTCCTTGGGGAGAATGTATTGGAAAGGAGAACTGTCTCTATGTTTGACAATTTGCTAACAAACCCAGGGTTCCTATTTTTGAAGCATTTATTATCACTGAGGTTCACCTCACACACAGTCACATAGAAGGGTATTCAAGGCTTGACTTTAAGGTGATAAAACTGTAATTCACTGACCTAGCCAGTCCCCACACTGTAGGAGCACAAGAAAGATACCACATCCTCCACTCTGAATCCTCCTCTGCCTGGGTGTTGGCCACAAGGAATCCCAGTCCCCCAGGAGATGCTCTCCATGCTAACTCTGCTACCACCTATGCTCCAGGTGGCTCTGGCAGGCTCTTGGCAATGCCTAGCCAGCTCCCACACTGCTGTGTTTTCACCCAGGCCATAAGTAGCATAGTAGAAATTAGAAATTTCAGGAAAAATAACCACTTTACATAATATCTCCCATCTCCAAAAGGTGGTGAGGTTAGTAGTGAATGCTAGCTAAGAGGAAAAATACTCAAAACATTGCCTAGTGTCAAGGAGTCAAATCTACTGTGTATGTCTGGATCAGCTGGTACCACCTTGTGCATTGGAGGGGCTCTCCTTCCTCTGGTCAGCCTTTCTTCCCAGGACAGTCGTCCTTGTGACCAAGGAGACTTGGCACTCAAGAGCCTGCTGGACTTTTCTCTCAATATCTAGAACCCCAAATTCTTTACCCAAGTGACCCTGAGCCTACTCCCAGGGCCTGGATGCCCCTCTCCCAGGGTCTGTCCTCTAGAAGGAGAGGCATGCTTCCAAAGAGCTTGCTTCCAGGCCCTGGGGGCAACCCAGGAGCAGTTATATGCAGAGGTATGGATAGGGCGTGATAGAAGTGCTGGGGTGTCTGCATGGAAGGTGCAAAGTTCAGGATGGAGCCAGTGGGACAAGCTGGGGACTGGGTGTCTCCTCTCTCCATGTCACTGTGTATGAGATGTCTCCATTCTCTCCTGACTACCCAGGCTGTTACAAAAGCGCACTTATCAAGGTAGGCAGAAGGTACATATTTTGTTTAACAGTTAGCTTGACTCCCATTTAAATATTTAGCCTCATTGTATGTGGGTCTCCATTTGTACTTTGAATCTAGGCCCTACAAATCTTAGGGGCTGGCCTGTGCGCACGAGGTCACTCCCAGAAGCCCTTGAGGCAGCCAGGATGAGGTGGAACCAAAAAGCATGCTCACCCCAAGTGCTTTGCCTGGTGTCTTCTCATGTGGATCCTAGGTGTACATCACATGCTGTACTCCTCTAGGGTGGGAAAGGGTATAGAGACCAGGAAAATTAGAGGTGGCTGCTGGAAGAAAGGGGAGCCCTCCTCCCTGAGTATGCCTGAGGGGTCCCCTTTGCAGTGATCTTTAGGCAAAATCCCCTCTCTGAGCCACAGCTTCCTATGCTCCACTGAGCCACTGATGTTGGGCCATCCCAGTGCAGTGGGAAGCCTCTGCTGCCTGGCCTTGGGTCGCCTCAGGATCACGGACTGTTTGAAGGCAGCAATTTGGTACTCGTTCACTTCTCAGATGTTGGTTAAGTACTGTGGATATAGTAATAAACAGCAGAGATAAGCACTTTTCTCTTCAGAGCTTACATTCTAGGGAAGGAGAAGGTCAACAATGAACAAGACTTCTGGTGATCATTTAATAAAGAAGCACAACAAGGTGTGGGGCTTAGGAAGTGTGGTGGGACTGGGATTGCTAATTAGAAGTTGGATAATGGTGACCTTTCTAATAAGACACAGATGCAGAGATCTGAGGGAACAGAAAGAGAGTCATGTTGGTACATGAGGGAAAAGAATTCCAGCCAGGGGGACAGCAGGTGCAAAGGCCTTGAGTATGCTTAACGTATTTGGGGAACACCATGGAAGTCAGTGGGGATTGAGCGCTCTGAGGGAAAGATGGAAGGTTAGGAGACAAAGCCAAAAAGGTGATGGGATGAACAAGGGTGGGGAGGAGCTGCAACAAGCTGGGCCTCTTCAGCCATTGTAAGGACTCTGGCTTTTGCACACTTGAAGCAGTCTTACATCCTGATAGCCCTTATCGGCTCTGGAAGGCAGAATAGACACTGGGCAAGATGACTGAGCTGTGATAATCCAAGTGCAAGACTATGGTGATTGGACCAAGGAGGGAGATAGTCCTTGGGGCTAGAGAAGTGGTCAGAGTGTGACTGCTTCTGAAGGAGAGGCAGCAGGAACTGGACCGGGATGTGGCATGCAAGAGAACCAGAGAAGTCAAGACGAAGCCAAGGCTTTGGGCAGGAGGATCAAAGACAGTGCAGGTGCCCTTGATAGAGATGAGGAGGCTAATTTTGCACATGTTGGTCTCAGATTCAGCTTGGATATCTCAGTGATAGGTTGAGACAGAAGGGAGCTCGCCAAGTCAGTGCTAGAGGCTGAAGCTTAAGCATCATCAACCAGTAGATGCCTGTGCTTCCAAGCTCCCAGGGGATAGGCCTGGCATGGAGCTGGTCACGTTGGCTATGACATCACAGATGACCAGTGTACCTGGGTCTGGAGTGCTTCCTAAGGGCCAGGCACCATGCTCTCATCTTTCACACATCATCTCTTACCTTCCTATGATCAAAGAAAGGAAAGACATTAGTACCCCCATTTTTCAGATGAGAAAACTGAGATTCAGACAGACGGCAAGTCACCCCCTCTCGGAGGGTCCCAGGTGCTGTTTTCCTCCATTTACCAGATCATCAAAATCACCGCCCTCCTCATCTCCACACCCCCAGTGCTGACCCCTGTGCTGCTCTCCCTCACTGCTGTAGCCTGTGACCAGCTGGCTCTGGGCGTAGTGGCAATCTTTGGGCCATCGCAGGGCTCCTGCACCAATGCCGTCCAGTCCATCTGCAATGCCCTGGAAGTGCCTCACATCCAGCTGCGTTGGAAGCACCACCCACTGGACAACAAGGACACCTTCTATGTGAACCTCTACCCCGACTACGCCTCACTCAGCCACGCCATCCTTGACCTGGTCCAGCACCTCAAGTGGCGGTCAGCCACCGTGGTCTACGACGACAGTACAGGTGGGTGTGAGGCTGGGCTGGGCTGGGCTGGGCTGGGCTCGGAGGGGGTGAGGGGACAGAGGCTCAGCTTTAGGCGCTCATCTGCTTGCCTAACACAGCTGCCCCTGGGGAAAAGGCAGTGTCCTACAAGTACAGCTCATCTTTGCCCCTGTGGTCACTGTATCCCTGTGCATACAGGGCACTCTCACACCTGGCTCAGCCCCAGGCCATCCACACCTACCTCACTTCTTCCCCTGCATACTTCTCCAGCCCCCATCCAGCATGAGTGCTCAGTTCTGCACTTGGCACCCAGCCCACCTGTCACCTGCACGGCCTCCACACCTTCCTGTACTCTCCCACCTGCATATTCCCATCCGCAGCCAGCACATCCTCTCTCACACCCAGAGGTTGCTTGGGGTATGGCCTGAAGTTACATGTGTACATGCTGGAGCCTAACCACCCTGGTCTCGATCCCAGCTACCCTACCTGCTGCCTCTGTACCCACTCATGTGCCTCAGTTGCCTCATTTACAAAGTGTGGGGGCTAAAGGGCATAATGTTGGCAAGTGCCTGACTATCTTTGCACCTGTGTCTAGTAACACACTTGTTACTACCTACACTCAGACACACCAGCTTTACTCACATAGGTACACACCAGTCTACCACATGACCCAGCCAAGACCAGGCCTGCAGAAGAGGATTTGTCTCATATCCCTGCCCAGTTGGGCTAATGACAGCATTCTTCTGAGTAGGACCTACTTGGAGCAGTCCTGCCTAACCTTTCTGATCTAGCCTGGGACTTACCTCCAGAAAACTCTAGGACAATGAGTTACCCTCCTGCCTCTGAGTCCTTAGTGTGGGCCCAGAACAGATATCCACTAACAAATCCAGCAAATGCACTCTGGGCTTTTCCTTTGGCCTCATCCATTGCTGAGAGCTGTAGATACCTGGATGACTAAAGACTGGGTACCACACTGCTGTCTCTGTAAAACTGTGCAGAGGAGTAAGGGGCTGCATGAAGTCACAGAAAGGGACTGGGCAAGCGGGGGTGGGGAGCAAGGGGTAGAAAAGGCCTCTGGCCAGGCCCTGTCCTCACGTGCAGACAGCCTCCAGGGGCAGAAGAACGCTCCTGGCTCAGTGCCCTAAAAAACCCCACCACTTGTCTGCGGGGAGCCAAGTGGTATAGGGGTGTTCTCAGTTGATTTCAGTGAGTCCTTGGAGTGATCCATCAGAAATGAAGCAACTGAGGCTCAACAAGGTTAGGATGCAGCTAGCATCGGAGCTAGCATGCACCTGCAGGCCAGGTCAAGTCTAAAGCCCGTGCTCATAGCCAGCCTGGAGCTAATTCTTCTCCCGCTCCTCTCTCTTTCCAAGGACTCAACCCCAAGGTGTTTCTTTGCCTGGCCTCTTAAGAAAAAGTAACCTTGGCAAGTCACTTAACCCATCTGGCCTCACTCTTTCCACTTGTCAAGAGCTGCAGCATCCAGTCTCGGAAGAGCCCTCCAGCTCCCGGGCGCCTGTGATTCATGTCAGCTCTTGATTACCTCCTAATGGGCAGTGGGAATAGCTGGGCGGGAAGCTCTCAAAAGAGACAATCAGAAAGTTGTTTATTTATCTCAGGACTCTGCAAACATCCATCGAGTTCCTACTATACCCAAAGCACCAGACAGGAGATCCTTGAAAGCAGGACCCCCGCTGTGCCTAGTGTCCCCAGCAGGAGGGCTTTGCCATGGAGGGACATTCCTGCCCACTCTGAGTCACCGCCAGCATCTCTGCAGCACTGTGGTGCCTATCTTAACACGCCAGTATGAATGATGTCTATCTAAGAGCCCATCTCTGACCCCAGATTACACACTCTTTGTTCCTTTAGGGTTTAGCATGGGATGTGGTGCAATGTCGATGTTTTCAAATGTTGGTAGAACTGAATTGAATTGGATTAAATTGAATTGAATAGAATTGAAAATCAAGTTGAATTAAACTGTAATTAAATATTCCAGGATAAAGTGTGAGGATGAAGAAGTGAAGACATTAACCATTTTTTGAGGAGTTAATCATAGTAGAGAAGCGTGGGTACCTGTCTAAGGGTCACTGGTGATTTCAGGCCATCGGAACTAAGCATCAGGTGGTGTGAGACATGCACACAGTCAGGGCTAAAGACCCTGGAGAGAAGCACTCTCGGGGCCTTGGTTAGTCTGTGCTGGCCCAGCGGGGGAGGAGAGATGCTTGAATACTTGTGGGCCAGGCCTGTAGGTGGAAGGAAAGGTGAGCAGTGCTGAGGGCAGGATTAGCGAAGGGAGCGGTGTGAGTGAAAGTGAGACTGTACATGGCAGTCATGGTGAGATGAGAGTCTGGCTTAAGGAGAGGGTTCACGTAAGGAGAATAGGAGGAAAAAATCAGATAAACAGGTCGGAGGAAGAGCTGGGAACAAGCAGGCTGAAGCAGAAGTAGCTATCTTAGACCTGCAAGAGGAAAGAAGGCCTGCATTTGAGGGGTTGCTTGGGAAAGAACGTAGGGGTAGAACAGAAGAGAAGAAATAGATGTGAGCAGGATATTGAAAAGCTGTAACTAGAATGTCATGGGTACAAAGTGAGCAGAATAGACACTGGAATAAACCACTGCCCAATGGGGCTGGGCCTTCAGGATGGGTAGGGGCAGGAAGGCTTCGCAGAGGAATAGAAGCTGTGGCAGGACAACGGGCACCATGCTGGTGGAACTGGTCACAGCTGACACTGAGGCCGGAGCTTCCTGTCCCTAAGGCTTCTAGTTCTGACTGTATATACATTATTTGATCTTCATACCTGATGGTCTGGAATTACTATTAACTAGATGGTGAAGAAGAAGGAGAAGGAGGAGGAGGGGGAAGGGAGGAGGAGGAGGAACAGGAACAAGAACAAGAACAAGATCAAGAAGAAGAGGAAAGGAGGAGGAGGAAAGAAAGGATGAGAGCATCATTTTTTCACTCTTAACCAGTGCCAAATACACTCTAATTTTTAATTCGTATAATTCATTTTGATTTCTAAACATTTTTAAACACAGTCTAACATTTTAAAACATAAGGGAGTCAATAAGAGAAGGGACTTGGACAAGCAGACAAGTGGGCCTTGGAATCGAGGGCTGGATTCCAGCAATAATACCACTTCAAAAGTGAGTAGCAGATGGCAAGAAGCACATATCCAGAGTCAGGCTATTGTGAGAGGCGGGACGGCTTGTAGTCCATCATACCCAGGGACTGGGAAGTACATTAGAGCAGATTTCAACTGTGTCTGCTTTAGGGGCTATGTCCATTAGGATGTTTTGACTATTAGTAACAGACAGCCCAACTCAAACTGGCCCAAGCACTAGTTGTTTAGTTATAGCACTAACAACCAAGAACAAGCCTTTCTAGGATTGGTTTAGCAGCTCAACAAAATCAAAGGGCTGGATCAGTCTTGCCTTGGGCCTCTTGGCTTTCCCTCATAGTCACAGTAAAGTTCCTGCATCTCCAAGCATCCCTTCTTCACACAAAGACACCCAAGCAGGAAGGAAAGAAGGAAGGAAGGAGGTAGGAGCCAAAGGGATTTGTCTTAATATGACTCATCCTTCTTATTAAGGAAGAAAATCTGTCTCAGAATCTTTTAAAAGACAGTCCTGTACAGCTCACTGGGACCATGCCTACTACTCTAAACACTCAATGGGAATGAGACTGGCATTGATTGGCTCTTCCCATTATTGAGGCACTTCTTAGGACTGGCATGTTGCTATCAAAAAAAAAGCCCATTTCTTTTAGTAACCCAGAAGAGGGTGCATCTGTTAGCTCTTTTTACAGTAAGTTATACAACAAACTACCCCTAAAATTCAGTGGTTTAAAGTGATAGGCACTTGTCTAACTCTCAAATTCACAGGATCAGCCAATTACCTAGCCTGGCTAGGAGGTTTCTGTAGTCTCAGCTGGCTTGTTGGTTGGTCTAGACTGGCCTTGGCCTTAAGGGCAGTGAGTCTAAGCTCTCTTCCATTTCTCATACAGGCGGGACAATGGGAGCGGAATGACATAGCAAACACAGTGTGTATAGTTCCATGTCGGGGGTCTGCCTGCATCATGCCTGCTAATATTCCACTGGTCAAGAAAAACCACAAGGCTGGAGGGCACTGTGAGTTTACATGGCAAAGGGCTTGAATATCAGGAGGAGCAAAGAATTGGGGCCATCACTGCAATCTACCTTAGGAACAACGGTTTTTGAGGGGACAACCACTGTTTGCCCTTTGAGCCATACCACCTCTCTGCCTTCCTAACCTAATCTATGCACAAAGACCGTCTTTTCTCTTTTTCTCAATGCTGGGGATTGAACCCATTGCCGCTCACGTGCTGGGCAAGTACTCTACCACCAAGCTATACCCTCAGCCTTTTTATTGTATTTGAGACAGTGTCTGGCCAAGTTATGTAGACTTGGGCTTGAACTTGTGATTCTCCTCCTCAGCCTCCAATTACAGGCATCTGCCACTGAGTCCAGCTAAAGGAAAAGTCTTCTCAAGAATGAAAGGAAATGTTTAGAAAAATCTGGGGTAGAGAAAAGAGTCTCAGACTAGGATCCAAAAGATTGGGTCTCAAATTTTGATCCTCTTCCTAGCACGCTGCAAAACTTTGGGAAGGTCCCTTAATTTTTGCAGTCCTCGGTGTCTTTATCTGCAACATTGGAATGAAAATCGCTCTTCCACATGCCTTCTAGGATTGGGAGATGGCTAAATAGGGTAATGAATGCAGAAGTGCTTCGTAAGTGAAAAGCATGATTCCCACAACCATGATTCACTGCAGATATTTTGAGAGGGATTGATTAGGGAAGCAGCCAGGAAGGAAAGCGCATCTCAGGCAAACAAAGACAGCCTTGTCCTCTGCTGGGCTGGGTGAGAGGAGCTCTGGTCTCCTTTGGGAATACACTGATGGGAAGAAGACCTGACATTTGCTGCTAGAGAATGTGGGTCACCATGCATTACACGGGATGATGTGCTTGGCTGACAAGGAGGCCCTGGTGACCTCTGCTTCGGCATCTATCCTGTCCCTGTCCTCGTGTTCTCGGTCCCCAAAGCCCACATGCCTACTGATGCTAAGCATGGTCTGAAAACCAAGAGTGATCTGTATACCCTGGGCCTCTTGGATAACAGGTGTGAAAGGTCAGCATCATTCGGCAAAATCAACTGAGAGTTTCTGAATATATTGGGAGGAAGAAGAACAGGACTGGGTGTGTGATTGATTTAGCTTGTGGTACCTCCTTTGCTGAGGCCAACTGGCCTCATTCCCTCCTCACATCTGGTTCAGTGTTTTGAGGCACAGAGGATCTCTTTGATCCAAACCCCTCTCTAGGACTCCAGACCCTTCTCCCAGCTACTACACCTGGGTCTAGGATTTTGAGTGGGAGGACAGTAAGCCCCAGCTCTCCTCTATCTCTGTCCTCCAGTAGGCTCCTGCAGCCATGTTGTCAGGACTGTGGCATAGGAATGAGACAGAGCCTTGGCAAAGCTTGTGTTGAAGCTCTTTGGGAGACACGTCAGTCCTCCCCAGCACAGTGGAATGGTAGACAGCAATCAGATGGCTGTCCTGATGCCCAGCCCTTCAGAATGGAAGGACAGCTTAACAGACAAACTCAGGCTGTATAGCAGACTGCTTGGCAGATGAGACCTTGTTGGAAGCCTTCTGAAGTAGACTGAGTGAGGGGATCCTGTTCAGATGTGGGACACTGTAGCTGTTGTTACAAACTCACCCGGTACAGACTAGCTCAAGAAAAAAATACTGTGTGTGTTGGGTAGTAGGTGGGGAGAGATTGGCAGTCTTTACTGGAAAGTTCAGAGTAATTTCAGTTTCAGGTACTGAATGATCCGAAGGCTTAAATGAGTATCATCAGAACTTCCTTTTTCTCTGTTTGTTCTCTCTGACTCTGCTCTGTTGGGAAGTCTTATATGGTGACCCTGGATTATATCGTCCCTTTTGAAGTTGAATGAAAAGGTGTTTCTTACCAGTTGGTCTAACATAGGTTCTGGGAGTCGCTCTGACAGAGTTCACTGTGTCTTGTGTCCATCTCTAAGTCAATCTCTGTTCCTAGGAAACACGCTGATTGGCCAAGATGGGGTCACATGTTTTGTCCCCAACACATAAACTGGGACTGGGGGAGCAGTTGTTCCCCAAAGGAAAATCAGAGTGCTGTTAGTGAGGAGATGGGGCTGTGAGCCAGGAGGCAGTCACTGAGCCAAGGACGGCAGGGGGTTGGGCGGGGGAGGGGATAGCCTGCTGGCTCAGTCCCTCCTGCGTGGCCTGGGTTGGGCAAGCAACAAGCAGACTCCCTTCCAGACTGCAGAGAGGAGTCAGCAAGAATAGGGCTTGAAGTAGGGTTGGAAATGAACTTAATTACACCTAAGCAAGCCATTTGTCTCCAGGAAGTGACATTCAGTTTTCCCTGGAAGTCCCCAGATTAAGTAGTTTTACAAAATGCCAAGGTGGAAGATAGATTTTTCAGTGTGGAGAGAGAAAAACAGCAAGTCAAACCAATTATGGAAATTTCTGTTGAGCACTACCTAAGGGCCAGGCCCTGCTCCAGGGATTATGGGGGCCCGTTCCCCAGCTTCAAGGTCCTGGTGGTTGGACAAGAAGAGTTAGGCGATGCCAGAGGAGGCTGAGGGAAAGGCGAGCAAGTGGCCATGGTGGGGTGTCTGGGCAGGAAGAGTTTGCTGAACAGACCAATAGAAACAGGCTTTATGGAGGTGTGACATTAGACCAGGAAGAATGAATACCTAAGGTTTACCAAGGCAGCCTGCCTTTTGGGGTGGGGGACACAAAGGTTGCCCTGCCTTTAGTAGCCCAACATTTGGGATGGGTTGTTACCACTGAGGCTGGAGCCACCTCTTGTGTCCACATGCCAGAGGCAAGTTTGCTGGAGAAGTTTGGGTAATTATGCCCCATGTTTCACAGAACTATCTCTATGCCATTCTGAGTTAGAGAAATGCAAGTGAGTGTGGTAGGCAGGAACTGTCTGTCTGTGTCTCCTTTGGAATCTATGCACATGTACATGTGTTCATGTGTGCACAGGCTTTTGTCTATATCTACACATGTGTCTAAAAGCCCAAGGGTATGTCCTATCCATATTAGCATGCACACGTGTCTACCCATGTGTTTGCATGTACACACATATCTGCTGTCCAATCTTGGTGCACATGAGGCCCTGTCCAGGTGTACACATCTGTTCCCAAGTGTACTCACACCTGTCTCTGGCCATGCACCCACACATATCTCTGTGGGCCACACTATCAGTGTCCCGTGTACCACCGACCTGATGCCTGCAGCTGTGTATACATGCATGCACATGTGTGCCTTTTGTGCCCCACGCCTTTCAGGGCTCATCCGGCTGCAGGAGCTCATCATGGCTCCATCAAGATATAACATCCGCCTGAAGATCCGCCAGCTCCCCATCGACTCTGATGACTCACGCCCCCTGCTCAAGGAGATGAAACGTGGCCGGGAGTTCCGCATTATCTTTGACTGCAGCCACACCATGGCAGCCCAGATCCTCAGGCAGGTACGTTAGTTCTGGCCAGTGGAGGGATGGCTAGGTTCTGCTGGCCACTTCTCTCAACCTCCCCTTTCCTGGTTACAGCCGTGATGTGTGGCTCCTAGCACTGTGTGATTCTGGGTGTCATTTTGCCTCTCAGAGCCTTAGTTTCACCAGCAGCAAAACCAACACAGCGGTCTTCACATTCAGACTTGGCATGAGGACAGCTGAATGATCTGCCTCATCCAGTCCTGGCACACCGAGAGTGCCCAGTAAATGCTACTTCCCTTTCTACGTATATGCATGTGGGAGGTGGGCTGCTAGAGGGTCCCAAAGCCACCCAGGAGAACCCCCCAGGAAACACAGAAGCCTCAGATTCTCAGGAGCAGCCCCAGAATGCCTCACTATCTCTCCCAGTGACGCATTCCTCACAGCTTGCTGCACATGGTGCTGCAGTCCTATTACGGGAGGTGCGCTGAGGTTCCTCGCACCCCCATCTGCCAGCTCCATAGCTGTGGTGGGGAGGGGGAGGGTTCTTGGTCCTGCGCAGGTCTCCATGCCCAGCGCAGCTCAGCCTGGCGTACTGGGGACCAGAGCCAAGCGTTGCAGCCACCAAAGAAAATCACAGCAAAATCTCTAGCAACAGCCAAGGGTGCTGCAGAGGAAACCAAAAGCACTGTGCTCCGAGCCCATGTTTTGTGTAAAAGGCATCTTTGTCATCCCAGAAATCATCCCTGGTGATTGAAGGAGGCATCCTGTGTCGCTTTGACACATGAGTCAGTGAAATGCAGGTAGTAAGCTGGAGACACATGTGCAGGAGAAGTGCTCAGCAGGGTCAGGGGAGTTTCAAAGCCTGGGGAGACTGGAGTTCCCCCTCCAATTGGGACCCTCAAGAGGTGCCCCAGCCAAGTGGCAGCCTCAACCCTCACCCCATATACATAGGAAGCTTTTTCAAAGTGGCGAAAAGGTTAATTCGCAAGGTGTGTTTAGCTTCCACCCTGCCCCCATGGCATTTCTTCCTCTGCAAATGGGGTTAGTGATCCTGGTACAGAGAGTTCTGCAGGCTTCAGTGAGGCAAGGAAAGCAGTTTGTCCTGGTGCCCAGCACATGGTCTGCACTGGGCACAGGACATCCTTAACATCGCTGCAGAGGAAACACACGCTCCCCAGAAATCCCTCAACCCGGATCCTCCCTGCCACCTGTTCCTGGTGCTCCCCCGCTTCCCACCTTACATAATGGAATGATGGTGACAGTTGCAACCTTGATTTACCAAAGAGTTACTCTGCCAGGTACCTGTCACTCCCTATTAACTCTGGGAGGCGGGGACAATTATCAGATCCAGTTGACAGTGTGGAGACTGAGGTTCGGCGGGGGAGGGGGGAGGGAGTAGTGGGGCCAAGGTCATCCAGCTAGAAAAGCAGAATTTAATCTCAAGTCCATATGACTTGAAAATCTCTGGAGTTAAAGGCAGGGCTTCTGTGTGCAGCTAAACCTGGGACTGAAAGCAGTTCAAATTGTCCATTGCTGCTAGGTTCCAGGGAAGCCTTCTGCTCCTGATGGGGTTGGGAGCTCCCGGGCTGGGATAGAACTCGTAGCAGTTTTAAGGTATACTTGGCCTGTGACATTATCCTCCAGAGCATTTGTGGATGCAAAATTCTGAGGAACTGTAGAAAATACACTATAGTCATTAGTATCAGAGATTACAGTCTTCTAATAAAATATATATCATGTAGACCTTATGGCGGTGTAGAATAATAACCCCACAGCAGCTCTGTGGCCTGCGGTGTGGTCAGATCGGACGAGGGGAACACGGAAGCCTCAGCACTTCTGTCCCTAGGTTGAGGACAGCCTCTGTCCTGTGGCCTGGCTGGGAGTCTGGGCTCTCTCTGGAGCCAGAGCAGTGAAGTGGGCAGAGTAGAGCCATGCACTTAAGGGGCAGCTAGAGCTGCTGTGTCGGCACCTTTCTGAGTGTGGCGTGTCCAGAGATGCTGCCTGAAAATAGACAGCTGGACCCTGCCCAATCCTGCCAAACTGTGAACCTTTGGAACATGTGGCCCCAAATCCTGCATCTTCATCTGTCCAGTGTGAAATCCCCGCCCTCTGCCAACCAGTCATTGTCACTATTCAGAGTTCTCAGAGAACACTATACTCAAGAAGCCATCCTCACCAACCCACAGCTCAGCCTGTCTGTTCCCAGCTCTCACCCAGGGGAAAGGGACAGGTCGCTAGAGTATCCCCACTGGTGACTGACGCTGTGCTTTCCCGCAGGCCATGGCCATGGGCATGATGACCGAGTACTACCACTTCATCTTCACCACTCTGGTAATGTACCTTGGGGTCCTGGCAAGAGGAGAGATGGGAGTCACTCAGGTCAAGGGAACTGTGCCCCAGCCTAGGCCAGCCCACTAGACATGGGTGCTGCAGATAGAGGAGACTTGAACACATGATGGCTGTAGGTCTTCAGGGAAAGGCACAAAAATGTCTCTGTGAGCCCCCCGTCACCATATAATTAAGATTAAAGGCATAGACTCTGGAGCCAGTGTGGACACAGCTCCACCGCTTACTCGTAGTGGGAGCTTGGGTAAGTCATCTAACCTCTGTGCCTGTTTCTTCTGCAGAGTGGGTTTCTACCTCCTTAGGAGTAGTGAGAGCTAAGGAGTCAGTCATGTAAAATGCTGAGAGCAGTTCCTGGTTCATGTAGAGCTGTAGAAGTAGCAGCTTTTCCTACTCTTATGACCCTGGGTCCTCAGTCGGCTTTCTATGCCTGCCTCCAGCCTTATGTATCAGCCAGATAAAAATTGCCACTCTAGATTCCTGCCACATCCTGGCTGAAGTCAGCCCCCTGACTGTCAGCAGGCCAGCCCACCTGCAGGCTCCAGATGGGTTCTGTCCAATCTCCAAAAACATTTAAGACCATTTAAACCCATTAGGATAATTAGTTGTGGCCTGAGATCAGCAGAATAAAGGCTTCCCTGTGCTAAAGGGGCACCAGCACCAAGCCACCCAGCCTTGCAGCCAGATGCCCCCAGACCTTCCGGGGCCCTGGAGGGCTGTTCCACCCATCCCAGGTCTGGGGCAGGTGATGGGCCTGCAGACCGTCCTCTTACTGAAACAAGCCACCAAGGCCAGGGTTAGCCCTGCTCTTGCAGCCCCTGCAGCTTCTAAGGGGTTTCATTCATTTCTTCACACTCAGTTAACGTTTTTTACCCAGAATCTGTGCTAAGAGGAGTAGTGTACCCTGAGATGACTAGGACCAAGGCCTTTCTCTTCATCTGTGTCTGGCTCCCATATAGCAGCTTTCATGGGCCTAGCCAGATAGTTGTGGGGCACAGCATAGGTTGATGCTAAGTGCTGAGGGACTGGTAGAAAGTAGAAAGTTTGAGGCAGGCTTTATAGAAAAACAGATGCCTGAACTGGGCCTTGAAGGATCAGTAGGAGTTTGCCAAGGGAAAGGAAAAATTCCATATAGACAGAACAGTATAAGCAAAGGTCAAGAGACCAGGTAGCTCTTCAGTGGTGTGCTGGAGCTTGCTCACTCTAGCGTGTAAAAGCTGACAGTGTTTGTCTCTTCCCAACTGCACATGGTACAGATAGCTGGAAAGCACCCATGGTGAAAGTAGCCACAGGAGTGGGCAAATGAGCTTTGAGCAGTGAATTGGCCATGTGCACTGGGGTTGGGGGCACACTGGGGTGGGAGGGTCTGACACAAATGAGGGCTCCCTCTCCCACTCAAAGAGCTCTCTATGAACCATTTAGCAGAGTGCCACCACTGTCACACTCTTGCCACCCCCTACTCACTGTACCCGAATTCCATGCAGAGATGAAGGCCACCTTGCACATTCTTCTGGTCCAGGGCCCAGAGTCAGTAGCCTGTCAGGAGCCATGTGGGAAGAAAGGGAACCTGGAAGCTAGGGACTGAGATTCAGACACCACCTCTCCAGAGTCCCTCTGGATCTGTGCCAGCCCACAATGGCTTGTCCCTGCCATGCTGTATCCTAGAAAGCCAGCAGCAACTTGAAATAAAGCTGCCAGATCCCTTGTATCATTCTAGGATGTGACTCTGGAGAAGGTACCACCATAGTGACCCCATGCTTTCTACAGCAATGCCTTGCCCACTGGGGTCAAGGTCAGAGCTCTTCAAAAATGGATCATGGCATCCCAGAGCCCTCCCATCTCCAGGCAGTGTCCATTTCCCTTACTTTCATTTCCTTAATTCAATGGTTCATTTATTCTTTTATCCAATAACCATACACAAATGCTGTCTAAGGTCCCAGGCTCTGAGCTAGGCACCAGGCTGAAAGGGGTTACACAAAGCTCATGGGGATTAGGCTTCCTTAACGTATGCAAGGATCCGGGAGTCTTCCTGGTTCACCTCTCTATCTCCAGAGTCCAAGTGCACCTGACACGCAATGGGTGCTCCTCAGTGCCTGAACAATGGATGGATGGACAGATGGGTGCATGGATGGATGAATGCAAGCAATACAAAGTGGACTGTAACCAGTGAAGTTACCATCACATTATCATAGCATGAGCCATCAGTTATGACCACAGATTCTGGTGCCAGACTGCTTGATTAGCATTGAGACTTTTCCACTTCCTTGGGCAAGGTACCCTCTGTGTGCCTCATTTCCCCGTGTACAAAATGGTGACAATAACAGTATTATTTTATAGAGCTGTTAGAATGAGTATTCAATGCATTGATACTGGTAAGGTACTTAGAATGGTGCTGGGCACTTAGTACTATGGGAGTGTTAAATAAACTGATTAAATAACTCCTGCTTGTTTTCTGTGTGGTCAGCATACCCCATACCATGGAAAATCCAAAATGACTGTCCCAGTTTTATAGAAAAGTGGAAACAGACTGAGAGAGGCAACTCGGCAAGAAAGGAGCAGGGTGTGGACTTTTCCCAGCTGGGAGCTGTGCAGCTTCAAAGCTCTCTGCTGAAACTCATCAGGCTGAAAGTTTGCGTAAAGTGTACCCTGGCTGCCCTGGCTGGCAGATCCCACATGATGCCTGGCCTGGCCAACTGGTCCAGGTATGGTGATTGACACTAACAAAGGGGGACAGGGTGTAGAGCCTCTTCCAATCCCAGTACTGTGCGTATATCACAGTTTCCAAGCCCTCCTACCCAGTGATTTTCCTCCTCACCCCATTCAGGTGTCAGGGCAGAGCTTGCCCACCATGTTAACTGAAAGGGAAGCATGGCCTCGGGAGATTCTGTGACTTGCCTCAGTCTCCCAGTAGATCAGTGGCCTGGCCTAGCTCCCAACTCTGGTTCTTGCATATGATTGCTCTACCCACAGCCCTTCCTCCCCACAGCTCTCTGGGGGTCAGGACAGTGGGCCCTCCCAGGGAGGCAGAGCCCTGAAGTGGAGTCAGTCTGCAGTGGACTCTGTGTGTGTGTGTGTGTGTGTGTGTGTGTGAGTGTGTGCACGCATGCACATGCGGAGGGTCTCCCACGGTATTCCCAGCAGCTCCCACATGCCAGGGTATCAGCTGTGTCCCCTGGGTCCTCTCTTTGACACATGTCCTCTTTCCAGCCTCAGAGTCCTCCTGCCAGCCCCGTTGGTTTAAGACTCTACCCCATGGCTCTCCCTCACTGTGCCCATTGGTCAGCTGTGGCTCCTTGGAGGGCAGTGGCATTTGGCATTTATCGCCTTCCTCTTAGGAAACCCACGTCACTGACTCTTCGCCTCTGAAAAATTCTCCCAACTTGCTTCTCCCACGCAGAAGACATTTTAATTACCCCAGCTGCCATTATCTGTTCCAGCCAGCTTTGAGCCATTCCCGGATAACCCTGCGTTAATCAGCCCCAGCTGAGCCCCTGGTACATGTCATGTGTAGGTAAAAGCCTGGAGGTGAAAAAAGAATTATAATAAATTAATAGATAAGCAATCACAATTAATGCCACTTCTCAGCAATAACAGTTATATCATGGGAAAGATATTTTCATCTGTCATTCCTTAAGGCGATGTTTTCCGAGCTTCAGCTTCTACCCATTCAGACCCATGGGGTGCTAATGAATTAGTCTATTATGTTATGCTGAATGTTTCTAAAAGGTCCCTCGTCGATACTGAATTCAGTCTGTCAACATTTGGCATCGGAAATGCAACTTTTTGCCAAGTAGCAAAGATACCCACAGTTCACTGTGTACAGCACTTGGGGTCTTGGCCCAGGGCAGTTTGGACCAAAAAAAAAAAAAAAAAAAATTAAAGCTAAACAAAGAGGCCTCTTTACCAGCACTTCATTGCCACTGCCCTCAGGTCACATGGGTGGAGGCTGTCTGTGCCACAAGTCCTACAACACTTCACGGCTAAGTCCAGGCTGGAAGGGGCCAGGAGAAAGGCGATCCCCAGCCCTGCTACCCATCAGACCTTCCCGGGCTGTGACTGTCTCCACCAACCAAACACTGTCTAGAGACTGGAAGGACCAGCTTCACCAGCACCCAAGCCCCTCAAAGACAGAGCTACACACTTCATAGTCACGTGGGCCCCAGTCCTGAAGGTTGATACACTGAGGCACAGAGGCCCTGGGCAGGCTGTTGGTTGAGCAGCTATCAAGCCTTAGCTGTGAGATCAGCACTGGTAAGAGAAGAGCCTGGACGCCCTATGGAGAGGAAGGGTGAAGAGGGCTCCCCTGGGGGCAGAGCTCGCCTTGCTTCCATGGCCCAAACAGCTCAACTCCGGTCCCGAACTTGCATATGACACCCTGCAAGACAAAATCCACCCCGTTCTCCAGAAGACCCTCCTTGGAGGTGGTTTGAGGAATATCTCTTGGTTCTGGGTGCTGAAGCAGACACTTCCCAAGCAATCAACCAAGCCACTCCCAGCTTCTTGCCCCATACAGAGCTCCTTCTAGGGGGAGGGGCAGTGTTTAAGTACTCCAGGGAACTGCTGGGCTGGCCAGCCTTTCTTTCCACTGTGGGAGCCAACAGTGCTCAGGACCCTCATAGGGAAGTCCCAGTCCCAAGTAGTTGTAACCAAGTAACCAAGATGAGATCCAGGACATCCCTGCCTCACTCTGTGGTACAAGTATAGAATGACAGTCCAGGGAGAAGTCACACACACACACACACACACACACACACACACACACACACACACTGGGGCTTTCACTCAGGACCTTCACAGTGAGCTACACTACACCCCAGTCCTCTTTTATTTTTTATTTTGAGACAAGGATTTACTAAATCACTAAATTGCCCAAGCTGGGCTTGAAATTGTGATCCTCCTGCCTTAGCCTCACAGAGTACTAGGATTATAGGTCTGCACACCACACCTTGCTTGTAATATTTTAAGCAGGGGAATGATAGGGTTGGATTTACACTAAAGAAAAAGCCTTATGATGATGGTAATGTCCAGTGAGCAGGAGAATACTGTGTAATACTTACTTTACAGGGGGGCTGTGAAGACTAAACCATGCACTCCACGTGCAGACTGAGGACCCACTTACTCTCTGCTCCCCGCTGAGACTGGGGTCACGTAGACACCCTCTGGCCATCTCAGCAGAGACCCTGCTTCTGCTGAGGACCCTGTTGTCATCTCTTCCTTATCCCAAACCCTGGGACAGAATTAGGCTATCTTCTTGTCCCTCTGTATCCATGGAGGGTTGACCCCAGGACCTGTGTGGATACCTAAATCTGCTGATGCTCAGTTCCGTTATATAAACCGGAATAGTATTCTATGTAACAGGTGCACATCCTCCTGTGTATTTTAAATCATTTCTAGATTACTTATAATACCTAATACATGGTAAATAGTGTGTAAATAACTTCTACTGTTCTGTCTAGGGAATAGTGACAAGAGAAAAAAAAGTCTACATGTTCTGTTTACACAAAAATTTTTAAAAACATTTTTGATCCGATGTTAGTTGACTCCCTAGATATGGAACTGCAGATATGATAGGTCACCTGTGTTTGTTTGGGCAAGGTTAGGACTAGACTTCCTTGTCTGGATTTAAGTGTGCTCCAAGCCTCTCCTCCGTTCCATAAACCTTCAAAGAAGAAATCAACACAGCACCTTCCAAAAAGGGGCTGCTAGGGGGTGCAGGAAAAGCAGGAGTTTAGCATCAATTAGGAGCATGTTAGAAGCCACAGGGCACTAGCACAGTGAGGAAGATCTGCCCCGTGGGCTCCAGCTTTCATCACTCATCATCTTTGCTTGAGCTGTTATTGACTGAGCTGGGGTTGGATGCTGAGATGGCGGTAGTCATGGAAAGTCAAGTACAGCCAAGGGGGTTCTCAGCCATCTCTCCAGATTCAGGATGGAGTAATAGAGTAGAGGACCCAGGGGAGAGGACAGGCCAGAGGCAGGGTGGAAGGCAATTTAGTGAGGAAAGAGTGTGGAAAAGTACAGGCACGAGACGGGGAGCTCTGACCATATCTCCAGACTTGGTTTCCCCACGTATAGGAGGAAGCCAATCTAGATTGTCAAGGTACAGGGTTACCTCAGCTCACAAACTTGATTCTTTCCATGATTCTGGTTGCACACTGTGTCAGATGAGAACAGAATCAAATTCAGTGGTTAGGTTCAATGATGACCTTATAGGGAAATTTGATTTTGTTCTCATCTAATTTGGTTTGCAACCAGAATTGTGGAGAGGATTGAGTTTGTGAACTGAGGTACCATTGTATATATTTCAGAATGTCAGATACATGATTCTTATGCAGATGTGGACCAAACACATTTCAAAGATGGGAGGACCCTGTCCTGCTGGATGGTGATGCTGGCCACTGAGCATGCAAGGAACTGGGTGTCTATAGCTATTTCAGGGGGAGAGGTGTAGAATAAGACTGCTAGGTTGGACACAAAATGGATTAATCCTCTGCAAAGCACTAAAAACCACAACCTTGGGGATTTATCTTTTCTGCTGGACACAAATCTGCATGTTCACCCAGAGTCCAGGCCTTTAACCAGTAGCTAACGGCAAAGTCAAAGCCAAGTATGTTCCCCTGGGGATTTCAGTAATCCTGTGCGATTTGGGTAAGCAATGCTTACTTGTCATGATGAAAGAATATGCTGCTCCCCTTTTGCCTATTTCCAAGTTCGGGATTGTTTTTAACAGGCCCTGAGCTCTCCTTTGCCCTTCTGAGAGCTGCCCATGCCCTGCCCCCACTGCTATCTTTACTCAACCCAGAGGAAGCCAGCTCCTCCTGCTACCCCTTTGTCTTGATTAAGCATCTCTGATGCATAAGGCTGGGCATCCCATGTGATCTGTTTCATCAGGTCCTGTAACCGGGCTGATCCCCACTTTGTAGAAGAAACAGGCTAAGGGGCCCCACTGGCATCACCCTCACAGACACAAGTTCTAAGAGGACCCCAAGTCCAGGGCTCCTGTAGGTTCTTCTGTTACTCCCCACAGGGCCCTGGGGTGGCCCTCACTAGGGAGGGTGGAGGAAGTGGGGCTAGAGCTGACTTGAGAGGCCACACTTGGATTTACACAAACCTCTCCCTCCAGGATCTCTACGCGCTAGACCTGGAGCCCTACCGCTACTCAGGGGTGAACCTGACAGGGTTCCGCATCCTCAACGTGGACAACCCCCATGTCTCGGCCATTGTGGAGAAGTGGTCCATGGAGCGGCTGCAGGCGGCTCCCCGGGCAGAGTCTGGCCTGTTGGATGGAGTGATGATGGTATAGCAGGCCCCTGGATGGGCCAGGCCCAGAGGTCCCCCTTTCCTTCCTCCTTCCAGCCTTCCTTCGCATTTCTTTCTTCCTTCCCACCACCTCTTAAGACCTGCTGTGTCTCAGCCAGCCCAGAAGAGGGGCCCAAGACACAAAGATGAGTCATACAGCCTCTGAGCCTCAGTTTCCTTTGGGGACAATGGGCTCAGTGGGATGTGTCTCATAGGTGACAAGGGCCCTATTAGGTGGGAGCGTGGTCACATAAACAATTGGTTACAGATAATAGGGATAAGGACTAGGGATCCTGGGCTAGAGGAACTTTCAGCTGTGACCAGTAAGTCGGAAGTCCGGGGAGGCCATACTGGGGATGGGGGCGGGTAGGGCGGGCAGGGGGCTGAGGACTCAGGGCTCAGGACTGTCCTCAGACAGCCCTTGGCCCTCCCTGCAGACCGACGCGGCCTTACTGTATGATGCCGTACACATCGTGTCCGTGTGCTACCAGCGGGCGCCCCAGATGACGGTGAACTCCCTGCAATGCCACCGGCACAAGGCCTGGCGTTTTGGTGGCCGCTTCATGAACTTCATCAAGGAGGTGAGTCCCACGACCACTGCCCAGGTTGAGAGGCACGCTGACTTCTGTTCTGTGAGAACTTGGCGGATGCCTCACATCTCCCAGCCTCGGTTTCTGTGGGTAAATGAACTCCACAGAACCAGCCTTCCTGGTGACAGAGCGCTAAGTCCTTGGCCCATCCATCATGAGTGCTCCATAAGTAGTCAGTTTTCTCTGCAGGCTGCAAAATACCACAGCAACCCACAGCAAGCTAGAGAACATTACAGAGCCTCAGTGGCCCTGCCTGTAAAATGGAGCATGAGGCATGGCCACCTCATGGGGATGCTATAAAGGGGAAATGAGATACCACGTGGAAAGCACTTAGGGTAGCGTGGAGGCTCAATAAGTAATAATTGGCCCCATGAATGGATCTTCACATCAAGGGCCCGTCAGCCAACTTCACACGGGGTCCCAGCTGGGCCCCTGTTTTGCTGGTAACTGTGAAGTCCCATCCATAGAACAGATTTCTAAGAAGCAGAGAGCATGAAACCTGTCCTGCTGCTGAGCTGACCATGGAACACAGTGTCTGTTTTTAATTTCAAAGGCTTCTCCCCTTGCCACTGTCCTTGTAATCTTTGCAAGTCAGAGTTTGTTGGTACCATTTTACAAATGGGAGAAGCTAAGCCCTGGGTCCTGGCTCCACTGCACCAGGCTGTGTGACTTTGAGGACCATGATTAACCTCTGTTCTTTAGTTTGAGATAGTAAGAGTGCCTGCCTCATGGGGTTGTTGGAAAATTATGTGTAGAGCACTTGGCCCAGGACCTGGCCAGAGTCATAGCCCAGGAAACAGCAGATGGAGAAGACTAGAGAGGATGAGATCCAGGCAGGGTGATGCTGGGCCACAGGGAGTCCATGTCCAGGCAACAACAAGGATATTAGGGGAAGGCTTCTCAGAGGGCTCTGGATAGATGATTTCTCTGTAACAGGCACAGGGCACCAGAAAGGAAGCGGGCTGCTGTGGGAATTCATTAAGATGCTACGTTCCTGCCACTGAGCTATGCACCAGGCACCAAGTGTGGCTGAAACAGATGAGTGCCACATATACAGAGCTCACAGCCCCCCAGGGAGACAGCACCCATCAAGCCTGCCCATTATGAATGTATCTGGTGTGCAAAGGAAGGCATTTGAGGAACAGGTCCAAGTTCGGGAACCCTGGCCCCCGGTCCAGTGAATGACCCTCACCATTCACACCCCGTAAAGAGTCCCTGCAGAAACACTCATCTTAGCTCCCCATTAGGGCTGCTGAGGCCAAGGGTGGAGTAGCCACTGGGTTCACCGATGATGCCATAGCTGGCCACTACCAGAAGCCAGGTACCCCACGGGAGCCCAGCACACATTCCTCCCTGGGTTCATTTCCAAGTTGCCTGTCTCTCCATCTGACTGCGTGACAGTAAATCATTTTAAAGACTTGGCATTTCCGAGAGGAGCTGGAAAATACCAGGCCGGAGTTCAGAGCGTGCGAAGCATCTTTCATTTAGCAAGTCCTGTGCTGTGGCTGGAGGGGGCGGGTGGGCTGGGAAATGTCAAGGGGAGGAGCGGCTCCCTGCCCTGCTCTTCTCGCCCACCCATGGGTTGGCCACACCTGCTGGCATTTTCTGCCTCTGTAAGCTGACAAGGGAAGGCTTCCTCTGCACTGGTTTGAAGGCACCTGCTGTGATTTCCCCTAGGGGCCCGCAGATAGCCAGAGCGTGTGGGGCTGCCCAGGGGAGGGATGGAGAGGGACTGAGAGCCAGCCCAAGGGAAGCAGAGCCTCCTTTGAAGTCATGAACGGAGGTTTTCACCTCTCTGTTGCAGCTTTTAATGTCTGCCCCCTGGTTCCCAGCTCCCTGGGCTCCCTGAGCCTTTCCTGCTGCACCCTGGGTTCCCCTACCCCAAGCCAGCCAGCTCAGCTACTACAGTGAGAGACTGCCATACCCCACTGGAACTCGGGATCTGTGTAGCTCGGTCCCTCCTTGAGCTTCATCATCTACATCTGTGAAATGGGGCAATGATGAGGGCCTGCTCACAGGATCACAACGCAGTGGGCTCTTGCAGGGAAGGATGATAAACAGCCCTCTATGATCAGCTTCCAGCCCAACTGACTGCTCCTCTTCCATGGCAAGGACCAGCCCGCATCCTAGGAGCTCCATGTGTAAAAGCAAGAAAGGAGAAATGATAAACCACGTCATGCTAAGCACTCTAAAACCCTTTAAATACCAGTGAGGTGGATAACATGTCCCCGCACCTCAGAACACTGAGATTAGCTGAGCAAAGCCCTCATTCTAACCCCTGTTGCCCCACAGCTTCCCCAGCCCAACACTCTGTCCCTCTGCCTTCCTAAGACACCTATTTGTCCAGAGACCCAATTACCTGGGAGACTTCACAGTGCCCCAGAGCTGCCCATGTGTGTGCAGACTCCCAAGGATTAGCTGGGATCCTGTGAAGCAGAGAACTCGAGCTCCTGGGTGCTAACCTGTTCCATCTGGAGCGGGGCTGGAGCCTCTTAGAACTGCAGGGAGCCCGGCCTGAGGGAATAGGAGCCAGTGTCCAAAGCCAGGGCTCAGCCAGCTTTCTAACACTCAGATCTTCTACTCCCCATGCCTCTTCTCTGGACACCTCCTCCTTCTGGGCTGTGTGGCCCCCAGTTCTCTTCCCTCCTCTTGCCCCACAGTCCATCTTTGCCTGCAGGACTCTAGGATACATGAGGTTTGTTCTCCTAGACACAGAAAGTTTGGGTATTTAACTACATACCAGCTGCTACCCTATGTTTAAGGACGAGGGCAAGGAGGGTTCAGGTGCCAATTAAGTGGGTGGCCCTGAGCCCAGAGCTCCAGTTTGCCGCTGCCTCTTGTGCACTGGGTAGGCTGGAGTGGCTCCTGGCCCCCTCCCCCTAGGGCTGCCTTCCAGTCTGTACAGTGGGAATCATCATCCTCAAATACTGCCAATGCCTTGAGGAATTAATGCTCTTGGCCCAGAGGAAAGATAATATCTGGAGAAGACCTTCTGCCTAAAGGGCAGAGAGAAAAGAATTCAGCCTTTGCAGGCCAGGAGGTCTCTGTCTCAGTTTCTCTCTGCAACTGCAGTGCAAAAGCAACCAGGGACTACCCATAAGCACATGGGCACCACTGGGTGATAATCAACTATTTGTAAAACCACGCAGTGGCAATCCTGCCACCCTGACCAAGAGGATGGGGACTTTCCTTGGTTTGGGCTGCCCGAACTCAATCTGCTTCTTTCTGTGTTCATGATGCTATGGATGATTTTTAAAATGACAGAAGTGACCATTTATCGAAGCCTTGTGTGTACCAGGCACTGTTCTCAGTATTTTACAGGACTGATTTCACCCTCGAAACATTTTGGTAAGATAAGTACTATTATTAGTTCCATCTTATAGCTGAGGAAACGGACACAGAGAGGTAAAACGGAATACCCGAGGTCACACAGCTACCTGTGGTTGAACCTAACACTCACCCTGGAATTCTAAACCAGGAGACACATGGACTTGGGGCTCGGGAGGACAGACCTCAGTGTCCCCTGCCCCTCTGAGGGCTGCTCCAACTTTCTTGTTTTACAGCCAAAGCCAGCTGGTCCCACTGGCTTCTCAGCCTATTGGCGGGTCCACCTGCCCCAGCTCTGCCCGCCTGCCTCCCTGCCCCTCCCCAGGGATCTGACAGGGGCTCCCCCTTCTCATGGCTCCAAGGCGGGGGCTCATTTGAGCGCATCCAAGATCGATGTTGTACACGAGAAGGTGCGATGCAAAGCTGGCTAAAGAGCATAATAGAATTTATGGAAATCGCTGGCTCGCACCGCAGCCCGAGCAATGATGGAGGTGATTATTAATTAATCATGGTCTTGGGGGAACAGTATCAGTGCAAGGAGTAATTAAAATGAAGCATTGTAAAGTTGTACCGAATGATGATTTATGAGCCCGAGGAATTGCCGCTCTGCCCTCTCCCCTCCTCAGGCTCAGTGGGAAGGATTAACTGGACGGATTGTTTTCAACAAAACCAGTGGCTTGCGGACCGATTTTGATCTGGACATCATCAGCCTGAAGGAGGATGGACTGGAGAAGGTGTGTGGACCCAGAGAGAGAGGTCGGTCAGAGGCCAGGCCCCCTCTGGCAAGTCCCAGGCAGAGGCCAGAGGCAGAAAGCAAGCCCCAGTGTAACGGCCCCTGGAGATTCGGCACACCCAGTGTGGCTTCCACAGGTCTGTGGGCCCAGCAGAAACCCTGAGGCTGTGGTCACAATGAGGGGTACAGAGCTCAGTGGCCTGGCTACCACAGACACTCAGTCCATCACTCTGTGAGTAACGTCCACCAGGGATGCTTAACCTGGGAAATATAATAAAAGGCTCCTAGGGCAGACAGACTATATCTCTAAGTGGCTGCAGGCCTGGGATGGTGCAGCAGACGCACATATGTACTTAGGTAAGAAACTTTCTAACCCACAAGGACACCTGCCCAGTGAGTAGTGGAACTCATGACTGTCCATTGCTGAGGTGATTCTTACCCTTGTATGCTGCGATACATGGTCTGACACCTCCACTCCCAATTCTAAGCCTTCTGCTTCCAGAGTTTAGACAGGGAAAGCAAGCCCACCTGGGGCTAGGGCTGGGGCTGGGGCTGGGGCTGCCTAGGTAGCTAGAGACCTGTTCTGACCTCTGGAGCCTTCAGCATGCTCTGTCACTCAGACTGCTGGGCTGAGAAGGGGGATTTAACATGAGCTGCAGCATTTCAGCATTTCCTGGGAACCAGGGATCAGGAGCTCAGCCACACCTGTCCTACAACAGGCTGGTCCTTAGGAGCTACTTGTATGCTTCTCCAATCCTGAGAGAAGATGTGTATAAGATACAGGCAATAGAGGCCAGGAAGATTCAGGGAGCCCCTCTGATGTCACTGGTCCTTCAAAGAATTTCCTCTCCTCCTGCCTGGCAAGCGCAAGGTCATGAGTTCGGTTCCCAGTACCGGAGAAAAACAAAAAAAAAAAAAAAAAAAAAAAAAAAAAAAAAAAAAAAAAAAAAAGAATTTCCTCTCCTCTCCTCTCCTCCCTGCACTCCCTGGGCCGACTCCTCATGTGGACTATTTTAACCCCTGCTCCTGATTTCCCATCTCACTCTGGAGCCCTCTAGGCATCTCAAATGTGCACACATGATGCTTGTCCAAGTGTAGATCTGCCCTGCTCCAAAACTGTCCATGGCTCCCCAGTGCCAAGTCACTAAGCTTCAGCCTCTCACTCAGGCCTTTAAACCTCTTGAGACACACACCACCTGGCCTCCCAGACCTATTCTCCACTAATCTCTGAAACATACCCCACAGTCCGGTCACTCCTGCCCTCCCACACCTCTGTGCCTGTGTCCCTGCCATTGCCTGGGTTGTAGGATGTGATCTCTGTTCCTCAGGCATGGACTTGGCTCTGCTTGGCTCAGAGCAATAGCTACATTTTACCTATGGCCGTGATTCCTCTATTTATTCTTGAGTTTCCCAACTGTGCAGGATAAAGAATGTCCAAGCAAACCTCACCATTCTTCTACAACTATTTTACACCACATATTGAATCAGTTCTCTGAGGCAGAGACTGTAGTCTCTATCCTGAGATCATCAAGGCAGGTTAGTCCAACCCCAAGCAAACTGAGTTTTCAAACTCTTGAGTTCTCTTCAAGCCATCTTCCAAGTTCTATTTCCATCCCTGCAGTGGTGAGAGCAGCCTTTCTTCTTGGCAGTACTGCGGTGGGTACAGCATTCACTCAAGTAGCCATTTTATTTCCGCTGTCAGCTACCCATCTCTAGAGAGAGCCTAGAATTCGAGGGATGGCAGTTAGATGGCACACATGCCATCACTTTCCATTTCTGTACCTGCAGCAGGCATCAGTAATTGATCACCAGAGCACGCTTTCCATCTGAGCCCACCTGCGGCATCCTCCCAACAATCCTCCAGGCAGCTGGTACAAATTGACCGTAGCTAACACTCAAAAAAACTCTATTATCCCTAGATGTAGTTTGGCCTGCAGGGTGCCCACCAGAGGCTCCTGGTCACAGCCACCAGACTATGAGTAGAATCCTCCTCCGTCCTAACTGCTCTCTCGTCTCTGTAGCACCTGGCCTCTAGCAGGGCATGTGGCTGGAGCTCAGCAGAGCTCACTGGGCAAGGGTGCCCGTGGTTGACTGAGCCTCTGACTAATGTTTGCTGAGTACCTCCTGCACCCAGCACTCTGCTCCGCACCCTAGCACTGATCTTGACCCACTTAGGAAAAGAGTCTCTTTGATGCTGCCTGCCTGTCTGCTCTTTTCATGGCCTTCGTGGTCTCCTAGGCAGAGCTCCTGCCCCAAGAAGGTGCCAAGCTCCAAACACAGCCACTGTGCCTCTCATGTCATCACTTGTGTTTGCTAAGCTGGGTCATAGCTGATCCAAGCAGCTCCAGCCTGTGGCTTTGGGAGGATTAAGGCAGAATTACTCAAGCATAATTACATCTCTCTCTGCTATCTACTTTGCACAGCTCTCTGAATGGGATGTTTGCATTCGGCCTTTTTGTGTAATTGATTGAGTTTCCTGAGTACCCCCCAACTGGGCCAAGGACAGAGTGGGCATTTTGAAGCCCTTCTCAGGAGGCAGCAGCCTGGATGGGGCAGCCTGGCCAGGACTGGGTCAAAAATGAACCTTCAAGAGACTGAGGGTTTGAGGATGGCTTATAAATGTGCTCTTTCCTTCCCGCCCTCCTGCCTCGGGCCCTATATCAATGACACTGTGGGGAGAGATTTTGCCACCTTGGCCAGGATGTCTGCCGACTTCAGAAGTAAAATCACAAAGCAAATTGCCTTCAAGCCCAGTGGCACTCAAAGCCCCCCATGAGGTTCACCCCACCTTATACTCCTGGCCCTCAAGTAGCTTCAGAGACCCACCCACCCACACACACACACACACACACACGCACACACACACATACACACACGCCACTCCAGCCTGCCAGCCTGTGCGCACGCAGCTCCTCCTTTTCTTGGTCTACACTGTCTGGGGAACATCTCCCCAGGCCACCCCAGGCTTTGCAAGGCATCCGGTCCCTGGAGCTGGCACTGAGGCTGAGACCCAAAGAGCAAGTAGCATGCCAGGTATCTTCCCAAGAGGTGTCCCTAGACAGGACCCTTGATTCCCCCTGACCTGTGCTAGGCATCTTCTCTGCCCCAGGCTGCTTGCCTGGCTCCCTTGATCTGATGCTGCTGCATTTCCTATCTGACTCTGCATTTGCCTTCAGCTGGGACGAATCTCCCAGCAAGAGGAGGGGGTGGCAGAATTCAGCATAGTCAATGATTGGGAAAGGACATGGGGGCAGCAAGTTTCTCTGCCATCAGAATGGTTAGCTCAAGACATGTAGGTGATGGCAGTGATGTGGTGACTGGGAAGAAGATGACCTTGTTAACATGGAAAAAGGAAGGGTAGACTGAGGACTCAATACCCTGTCTTCTGTCTGTCTCTCCATGCAGGTTGGCGTGTGGAATCCTGCTGATGGGCTCAACATCACGGAGGTTGCCAAAGGCCGAGGCCCTAACGTCACTGACTCTCTAACAAACAGGTCTCTCATCATCACCACGGTACTGGTAAGAGTCTCCCACCCCTGCAGGAGGGCTGTCTGACTCAGAGAAGGCAAACTACTGGGGCTACAGAGACTCCTCCACTCTCCCCATTTGGCCACATTCTGGGCACTTCTTATGAGGCTGCTGGGAGCCCGAAGGTGGTGATACATAGCTGTAGGAAGGTGGAAAATTTAAGGTCACTCAGAAAAGCCTTAGAGAGCAACTGCTCAGGCCATATTGGAGGTCAAAGGCTGGGGGTCAAACTGCCCATTGCAGTAGGACTCACAACTGCCTCTCCACCTCAGTTCCCAGGGAAAAATCCCTTCCTTCTCTCCCTCTGGCTGTGACAGCTACTATGGCCACACCCAGAGAGCCTGGTGGGTGCCAGACGCCTACATATGTGCCATGCTCTGCAGCATCCCATCCCAAGAACTGGTACTATGACCCCACTGCCTAAATGGAATCGCATCCCACTTCTCCCCATGCCTTCCTCTCTCCTTCACTCTCTCTCCTCCTTCAGAAGGGCTGAGAAGTGCTTCTCTCTCCTGACACATTCTGATTCATGAAGTAGCTTTTGGGGTCCCCATACTCTCCACACCTGACAGCCCAAGACCGGGCAAGAAAGACCCAGACCACTGGATCCTTTTACTGTTGGGTGTCATGCCCATTCCGAGAAGCCAGTGCCTACTGGAAAGGCACGGGGGCATGCAAAGGCTCAGAAGAGAACTTCTCAAAGTCACAGCACTGCTCTTGGGGGCCCAAATTGGGCCAACTTGGGGAGGCAGCCCAGCCACTGCTTGGTAGAATCTGACCCAAGACCCTCTAAACATAATTCTGACCTTCATCAGCTTCTCTTCATAATATAGCAAATAAATCTGCAAGGGTCATGTGCTAAGGTTGTTCATCTACACAGGAAGGAGCTCAGCCTATTTGAGGTTAGGTGAGGCTGCGTGGGATGGGGCTGGGACACAAACTGAGCAGCTCTTCTCTGGTGTGTAGACATTGATGGCTTCCACTCATTTCCCCAGCAGAGGCAACTCACCCAGGCCCCCTTGCATGGTCCCACGTCCTCCCCACAGTGTGACTCACCATGTGGTGCTAGCTCTCTGGGTAGTGGGCACCATGGACAGGTATGATTCAATTGGAAAACATCCAGTTCTTCTAGGATTCTCAAGGAACAGCAGACAGCAGAGCTATTCTAGGTGTCTGGGGAGGAGTTAGTTTGTGGATCTCAGCCTCCAGGGTTGTGATCACTGAGCAACCCCTTCAAAGGTGACAGAGATATAATGGTGATTATCGACAGGCTGGGGATACAGTCAGAGGAAAAGGGTTGGGGGCGCCAGGGATATAGCTTAGTGGCATAAGCGCCTGCCTGGCAAGCACAAGGTCCTGAGTTTGATTCCTGGTACCAAATAAAATAAAATACGATAAAAAAGAAAAGGGCTGGGGAGACCACAGGCCTCCCTTTGGGGAACACACCCACAGGAATCTTCCCAACAGCTACATGGCCTACCCACCTTTGTGGACCCACTTTTTGTTAACTAGACAAATATAAAAAAACAAGCTGCTAAAACCCTTAAGTCAGAACAGAAGACAAACTGTAATGTAAAAATATAAAAGATAAAAATAAACAAATAAAAATGAGCAAAGGGATTAGAGTGACACTGATGAGCAATTAAAGGAATATGGATGTGGATAAAAATAGAAAAGATAAAGGGAGAGTTAAAGGAGAGCAAACTAGAAAGGTTAAGAGGAAAATAATGAAGAGAAATGAAGGTAAGAAATGAGGTAACAGGAAAGATATTAAGAAAGACGAAAAATTAAATAATTTACAGCTCTGACTAGACAAGGTAAAAAATGTTAAACCAAAATGTCAAAAAGCAAAAGGATAAAAGTGTGACAAAGCTAAAATATAAAAGGGTAAAAATAAAATAATAAAAAGGTGGTAAAAGATTAAAAGCAGAGCTGCATAAAATGTGAGATATAAATAAAACACTTTTTGCAAGGCAAGATTAAAAAAGGGTAAAGCTAGTATGATTTAAGAGATTAGGAGGAAAGATGATTAAATGAATGAAGGTGATTCAGCCACAAAACAAGCCTCCAAATGGGAAGAGGCAAGCTAAGGATAATATCGCAGAAGGGTGCCAAACATGGCCACCTTGAAAGGCCACAGGGTTAAATGTTATTAAAATGGCAGCTGTCTGATTTCAAGGGCATGAAACCATTCTGGAGAGGCGCAAGGGATTTTTTAGACCCTTTTGCCAGTGCGTAAGTGTTTTTCCTACATGAGCAGAGGCAGAGCCCTTCAGACACTCATGCTCTTGACCTGCTTCTTCATCAGCACTTGCAGCCTCTGCAAAGGTCCCAACCTGCTGCACTCACTGTCCCCAAGGTCCCGCCCACAGTGTCCAACTGGCTCCCAGGCACCACAAGGGGATAGGAAAGGACAGAAGACCTCTTGATTCACCTCCTGGACATCCCACCTGGATACAACTCCATGTGTTCCACTGCCCCTCTCTCAGGGCATCAGAGCAGACACAACCCCAGCAGCTCTTGGGGACCTGCAGTGTGATCAGGATGCAGGGGCAGGGCTGGGGAGTGGGAGATCAGTGGCCCAGAAGCACAGAGCTGTTGGGTGAGTCCTGGCTGCACTATTGATTTACTACATGCTGCTGAGACGTGTTTATCAGTCCCTGCCTCTCTCCCATCTGAAAAATGAAGATATGATAATTGTACCTACTTCATAGAGTTGAGAGATGAATGATTAATAAATATAAACAGCATAGAGCCAGGTGCTAAATGATAGCTGTTATTGTCATTCACCGCTATTGATTACAAATCCAGACCCAGGTGAGCTCAGGTTGAATACAACACGTGGCTGAGAGTTGGAGAAAAAGCCTATGCTTCTGTCCACAGGCAGAGCCCCAAAGGCTGACCATGGTCACAGCGATCATCTCTAGCTCAGAGTCCATTCTGCTATAAACTCCGAACAGATGCCACCTCTCCCCTGTGTTAGTCTGGCTGCTTTTTTTTTTTTTTTTTTTAAGTATTATGGAATAAATGCAAGGGTGCTCTACTAGTAAGGTACTCCCCCAGTCTTTTTACTTTTTGAGACAGGGTTTCCTAGGCTGGATTCAAACATGCCGTCCTTCTCCCTCAGCCTCCTGAGCAGCTAGGATTATAAGTGAGTGCCACCTAGCCTACCTTGCCTGCTTCTTTTAGCTTTATTTTTGAATTAGCCCCTGAAGTCATTAGGTGACCTACAGAACACCTCCATAGCTCTAGTCTACAACAGACATAGAACTCCAGATTGTCCACTAACTCACCCCTCCCTTAGCCAGTGTCTGAGCTCCTGCCCCTGACATCACATTGATTCCCTAGCCCTGGCCCTGTCTTCACCTCTGACCTGACTCCCTTAAAGCTGATCTCTCATGGCTGATGGGCAACACCAGCTACCACCCAGGACCGGATGCTCATGCAGTGGGAGGGTAACCCAGAATCCCCTTCTCTCCATCCTCACTGTCCAGGGATCAATAGAAGGTCACTTCTGTTCCTCCCTTTGGGAGAGTGAGGGAAGCCGCTCTTCCCTGGAGGCAGGGAAGTGGAAGGGAAGACCTCAGGAGGATGTGACACACTGCCTTTACACAGGTCTCCAAGACATTGTCTCTGTCCAGCTGAAAGTGTCCTCAGAGTCTCCTCTGAGAAACATGATGCTCCAAAGTGATCAGCATGGTCTGATCCCTAAGGGATGCCCTCAGGCTTAGGCTCTGGGGGACAGCTGCACAGGTCGAGGAGAATGGCCCAGCCTAGCCCAGCCCAGCCCAGGCCTAGCTGCTTGGGCTGAAAACCCAGCCAGATGCTTGGCAGCCTAACTGCAGGGCAACACCTCCTGCTGTGAGCTCAGAGCCCTGCCTGGCTGGGTGTGCGTTGTCAGGGCAACAGTAGTTTGAGTGACAGGCAGGTGCCAAGGCACAGGAGAAGAACATCAAATTGCTTTCCCCCTAGGGAATGGGGCCTGGAGCCAAGACCCCTGGTAAGAGGGATTTCCTCTCCTTTTTGTTCTCTCCAGGATCTGAATACAGCAGACAGCGGCAGCTCTGTGTGGGCCGCCCCCTGAGCTCCCCTTCTTTTCTCCCCTGTCCTGAACCTGGGCTAGGGTTTAAGGATGCCCTACCCTGGACAGACACAGCGTAGAAGCCAACCCCGCCCTGAGCACTCAGCGCGCAGGCGCCTTCCCTACTCCTGAGTGGGAACCACAGCAGGAGCCTGGGAGCCTGCCCTGCCTGCCCTCCCCGCCCACCCCAGCCTCTGTTCTGGTTCTGCTCTTCCATGCAGTCATGAAAAATTCATCTGCCCAAAACCCTCAGCTCACACACCACAGAGAAAGCATACCCGATTCACTCCTGGGGCCCTGCTTTTGAAGGTTCAGGGCTGTTTTGGCTGCTGCTATGAACAGCGTGGGGGGTGGGGGAATTTACCAGCTACGTATGGGGTTGACAGCGTGTTTATGCTGAGTGCGTATCGTGACTCATGTAGACACAGCTGCCATGCAGGCTGGACCCTCAGTTCCCAGCAGCAGAAGACAAGGAAAGCCAAGGGGAAATATGAGTCAGGAGAGCTGTCCAGGCCAGGGACCATTCTGGGCCGATTCAGACTTCCAGTACTGTCCTGTTCTAAACTACAGAAGCAAGGGCCTTAATTCTGGGCCTCTTGGCCTGTGTGCCCCAACAGGACTAGGCAGGCAGAACATCTGAGCAAGTGGACTTTTTGTGCCAATGGCATTGTGTGCACATGAGCAGCACATGTGGATATAGGTAGATGTTGCCTCGATCAGTCAGGAGAAATGCAGCTATTAGGTAGAGCACCCTTGAATCCTTCCCCACACTGCATAACCTCCAGGCTTCCCCTTCCAAGTCCACCGTCCTGTCACTGAGAAGCTTAGCTAGGTCTGGTCTAAGTGATTGTACAGAAACCAGACCAAGAGAAAAGTCGGAAAAGATTATTTTTCTGGACCCCTGTTTTCTGTGACTTGTTGAAGAGAAATATTACCCCTGGTCCTACGGCTGTTCTCCCAGAGCAATAGGAGAGCGTGAAGTTATGAAATTGAGGGCACCTTCACTGAGCAATCGATTAGCAGCCGAGAGAGCTTGTGAATTGGCTGTCTGGACATTTCCAGTAATAAATTGTGAAATAGTCCATGAATAAGTAGTTGGCGGAGTTCAGAATTACCCCCTAGGAAATGTTGCAGGTCTAGAGACACATTACTAAGGCGAGCACCATTTTAATGCTCTGGGCTTTGGCTGTTAAATATGTATGCCATCCGCAAAGCACTTCCCGAAATTAATGGCATTTTACAGCTGCTCCAAAGGCAGCGTATTTATATGGAGATGTATAGATTCTGGGGCTGTGGTGGCTTCACAAATGAAGTGCTAATTTTAGAGAAGTCCAGGGAGGGGTATAGAGAAGGGGTCAGGAAGTGAGCTACCTTAGGGACCTTTCCAAAATAGTTGTCTACCACCAGCCAGCTTTCTATATTTGGTGATGTAGGGTATGGTCTCTAGGCTGAAAAGGTCACTGCAGTAATAGGCCAACCAGCACATAGAAGATGACAATGATAATGATGATGATGATAATGGTGATGATAATGATATTGACAGCTAACATTTACCAGGGACTAAGTGTTTTTCATAGGTTGATTCATTTTACCCTTACAATAACTATTTAGGGGGTTCTATTATTACCCCCATCTTACATAAGAAGGTAGAAATCTATGTGTGATTGGTGGTACCTCTAATTCCTTGAGCTAAATAAAGTTAGGGCTACCAGGTACAGTATTACGACTGTTCACTGCACAAGGGCATTGTATTAGTCACTTTTCCATCTCTAGAACAAAGTACCCAACACTTACAACTTGAAAGAGAGGTTTATTTTGGCTCAAGATTGCAGAGGGTTCAGTCCATTGTTACCTGACTCCAACACAGAAGCAACATGGTGGAAAGGCATGGCAGAGGAAAACTACTCAACATATGGCAGCCAAGAACCAGAGAGAGAAAAAAGGAGACAAGAATATACCTTTCCAGGTGACACCCCGAGTGATTCATCTCCTCTACCCAGCCACAGCACATTCAGCTATGAATTCTATAGTGGATTAATCCACTGATGGAAATAGTACCCCCACAATCCACAAACTCCATCCTGAATACATAAGACTTTTGAGGATATTTTATATATAAACTATAACAAGCATCCATCAAAAGGATGTTTAGATTGAAATTCCACCTAAGCCCTGCTCACCAGGCCCTATACCAGGGAGTGGGGCAGCATCTGCCCCCAGATTAATTGGCATGAAGGAGTGCATAGACTAAAGGGAGAGCGCTTTCATGGAGGTAGTCTTGGCATCTCCCAGTATCCTACCCCACCCCCACTCGCATATCTTCTCAACCTTGGCAAACTGCCTACCTGGTTGGAGGGTGGGATGAGAGGGAGTGAGATTGAGTATGGAAGCCAGCCAAAAAGTGCTTCCCACCCATTTGGACTGAGAAGTGGTTTTCTCAGAATCCCTAGAGAGTCAGGAACCCCTTAGGGATTCAAACACTCCCTGGCACTTTCTCTAAAACATTCCCAAGGACTCCCTGAGGGAATCAGTCATGGTGGGGATGGGATTTTGAAAGATAGCATGGTAGGGAACCCAAGCCAAAATATTGAGCCAGCCTACTGCAGCCAGAACCTTGCTGGTGGCTGCTGGTAGGTCTCTGCTACCAAGGATTCCCAGCAAAGGCCTTCAGTGGGGCCAAGAGAACAGGTTCCCCAGAGGAGAGAATAGAGATCCCACCATACCTCAGGCTGAGCCTTATCATGAGCAAGTGGACACTGGCTTCCCCAGACACATGCTTTCTGTCAGCTAAAGGCTGTCACCTATCAGGTGAAGGCTTGAGGTATTCTGACATGTGAGGATGCCAAGGTGGGCTTGGGGAAGTTTGGCCAGCAAAAGGGGGCAGAGAAGCTCCAAGCATGAACATAGTAAGGGGCTGAGGAAGGAGGCAAGATGAGTCAAAATAGGACTAGAGTGGTCCAGATGCAGCATAGGGATGCAGCTCTGAACCTGAATTTGAGATCTAGAAAAGCAGATGAAGTCAGGGAGGTATGATCTCAGGCGAAGAAAGAAAAACTAACCCAGGCAACAGTGCTGATTGGCTAGGAAGGATCAAACTAGATCCCATCAAACTGTATTCAGCTCATGTGTGACACTCCCTGAGCCACAGTTTCCTCATACATCAAATAGACATAATGTCATCTACCTCTAAAAGGTAGACTCGTGGACTTAAAGTCAAGAGTTTAAGTTGGTGCTTGGTGCATAGGAAAAACTCAAAATGTTGAGTTTTCTGGGAATTCAGTGGGTCTGGGCAGGTAGAGTCAGCTGGAACTTGCCCTTCTACGTTGACTTGGATTCTGAAACCATACTGTAGGCCTGGATCACGCCAGTCCCTTGCTCTGTGTCCCAACCTGGATGAAGCCAAACTGGTTCTTTCCACTGGCTGTTCTGCTTCCCCTCCCTGTTGATCTTTACAGGGCATTGTTTGTGAATGAGAAGTCAGGCAGAGCCACTTCCTGCTCCAAGCCCTTCTCTGGCTTTCCATCAATGGGACAAGGAGGGCCCCAAAGCAGGGAGATCTGACACAAGACAGATGTGCCTGGCCCTACCAGCCACTTCCTAAGGATCACCTGTCCCTAGGGAGAGACAGCATGGGGCTTAGGGACTCTGGCACAGAACTTACACTCCAGGGTCAAGCCCATCCCAATTCAGATCCTCTGTCAGTGCCTGCTGGGTAAGCTGATGCAAGTCACTTGTCCTCCTGAACTTCACTTCTTGCATCCACAAAATGAGATTATTAGTAGCTACCCTGAGGAGTCGACATTAAGGTTAAACAAGGCAACACCAGCTTCTTTCTGTTGTGCTGGTGCTCTGCTGGGCTCCATGCAGAGCCCTCTGCAGGCATTAGCTCATTTGCTAATTTCCAGGGCCTGGCACAGCCACATATAAATGAAGCTGCTATCAGTTATCACTCGCCTGGCAGATCCTAATGTGGGAGCAGAGGGGATCCTTGGAAACAATGGTATCAGGAGTGTGTAGATCTAATCTGCTAGCCAGGAGTTGAAGGAAAATCTGGGATGACACTTGATGAAGAGCTCTTCACAGCCATGTCCTCCAGCTTAACCTGATGCCTTAGCAACACAGGTTGCTAAGCCCCATCCAGGTTTCAGGTAGAGTAGGGCTGGAAGGGAGCCCAGGAATGTGCATTTCTAACAAGTTCTAGGAGATGTGGATGCAGCTGAACAAAAAAACCATACTCTGAGAATCCTGGCCCTGTTACTGGTACCCCAGAGAGAAGCTGGGCTTTGGAATCCAGTCTCAAGTTCAAATCCTCATTCCTCCACTTACCAGTTCTGTGACCACTGGGCAAGTAAATCAACTGAATCCTTACCCTGAGCCAGTACGTTGCAATTGCAAGGCTCCAGACCGGCTCTCAGAAAATGTGAGTTCCCTCACCCCAATTCCTTTAGGCCTTTCATCCAAATCACTCCAAAATGTTTTTTGAAAACAAGAGCAGAGGTTCCAGCCCAAATTCTCCAGCCTGTACACACCACTCATTCAGCCTTTGTCTTCTGCTCTGTCCCTGCAGGAGGAGCCCTTTGTCATGTTCCGGAAGTCTGACCGGACCTTGTATGGGAATGACCGGTTCGAGGGCTACTGCATAGATCTGCTCAAGGAGCTGGCGCACATTCTGGGCTTCTCCTACGAGATCCGACTGGTGGAGGACGGCAAGTATGGGGCGCAAGATGACAAGGGCCAGTGGAACGGCATGGTCAAGGAGCTCATTGATCACGTAAGCAGGGAGGGGAGCAGCAGGGGAGGAGGACAAGGGCCCCAGGGCTTGGTAAGGGGCTGTTTGTATATCAGGGGAGGGATCCCAGAAGGCAAGGCCCTGGGAAGAAGATGGAGAGAAGCTTCAGGCTACAGACACCACAGCAGGGGTGAAATCAGGAGGACCTGAGTTCGAGTCCCAGTTCTTCCCTTATCAGCTATGGGGATGGTTAACTCATCTGACCTCTGTGATCAGCTCCCTGTTCTGTGAAATGGATATACTAACCCCTACCACCCTCCTCACAGGAGTGTTGTGACACTGGTGTAGGGCCCGGCCTATAGTCACTTTAGGAAGCCTTGGAAGATGCTATCAGAAAATATACCTTAGTTCTTGGAATTCCAGGCTGGGCTCCAGCAGACCTGGGGTTCAAACGCCACTTTCCACCTAATACATGCATGATAGGATAGGTTCATCAACTTCCCAGAGCCTCCGTTTCTTCATGTTTACTGCAGCAGGGATTAGCAATCCTATAGCGGCCAAAGTAGTCCCAGGAATAAAATGAGGCACTTTGTGCTGTCTTACCTGGCACATAATGAATACTTCCTGCCTTCCCGCTCAGGGCGCTCAACTGGGCAAAAGCAACATGCATCAGAAAGAAATTCTTTCTGAAGCTCATGGAGGAGAGGATCTGTTCCAGGCCCCTTCGATTCTTCCTCTCACTTCTTAGAACAGCCCGCTGAATGGGGGGCCATCAGTAACACCCATTTCACTGCCGCAGAGGCAGAGAGAGGTGAAGGCCCCCAGCCAGTAAGTGGTGGAGCTGGATTCAAAGTGGTAGAGTCTTTGGAGACTCTGTCTAGGTGGCCCTGGACTGTGACCTCTCCAGAGAGCGCATCTCTGGAGAAACAGGGCAGAGGCAGCCTCGTGCAGTCTGTCTTTGTAGCCCCAGAGTCCCAACGGTGGTTAGGGCTTGTTACTGCTGCTACCGCCCTGAGCAGGGCAGTCAACACAAGGCCTTCTGTGAAGTGCCTCCCCTGTCTGGGGTGGCTTTCTTATGGAGGCCTTGGAGGCTGGAGCTCAGAGCATGAAGGCCCAGGCATAGCCTGCCTCAGTGGTCACGTCCTAGGCTGCTGGAAACGGAGCTCAAGGGAGACTGGTAGGAGAGGCTAATGGTACAGAGCATGAACTTGGGCTGGGTTTAGTTCTCACTCTGCCATTTCATTACTGTGTGTTCCTGGATAGCTTCTTCCCCTCTCTGTGCCTCAGTTTCCTCATCTGTAAAAGGGGAATGATATGGCTAGGACCTACCACCCAAGATCGCTATGAGGACTAAATTAGTGTATGTGCACTAGTTGGTGAGGATGTGCTCAGTTTGAGGATGTGCTATTATTGTTTTTATTTTTATCCTCCCAGTTAGTCCTCAGGGAGGGGTTCAGGAAGTCCCTCTGTCTCCCAAGCTCCAGTTTCCTGACAGTATAAATAATGATACCTGCACCTCATTCTTCCCAGCCTGCCGTGAGGCTCAGAGAAGACAACTGGTAGGCAAGCGGCTCCTAGGCTATGGAATGCAGTATAAATGGAAGGGAGTGGTGTTGTCACTGCTATTAGTAATAACTGTAATTATTATGGAAATTAGTCAGTAGGCCCCAGCAGCACCTCCATCTTATCCGCTCCCCTGCGTCTTAGGAGTGGGGGCCTGGAGACCGAGCCCCGGGTGGGCTCTCAGCCTGGCATTTGCAGAGAAGAGCTGTGCTGGGAAGCAGAGGGTCACATGACAGCAGAGGCTGTTGTGCAGAGTGAGCTGAGCTGAGCCCATCTTGCCCCACGCCACCTCCGGTGGCCTGACAACTTGGAAGAGCCATTTTTTTAAAGGAATGTGATGAGAAAACTCCACCAGCAGCCAGAGCTTCCCGAGCTGACCCTCAGCTGGGGAGAGGAGGGGAGCCTCATTTACAGCCTCTGTAGCAGAACAGTGTTTGGGAAGACCCAGTATCCATCAAGGCCACGAGCCCGGATAGGACATGCAGGGGACCTTGTTAAACCCGATTCCCTACAATTGATGAGCCTATTAATCCTAGCTTGATGCCATTTTTAATAACATCATAACCATTTATTAGTGTCGTCAGATAATTAGTCTTCTCACTAGCTCATAGAAAGTGTGGTAAAGACTTGGCAATATTATTACTTCCTTATTAGGGATCTGAACGTAGGTGTAAAAATGATGAATACCCACCTTTGTCAGTGTCTGCCCCCCGAGCCCCATTTAGAGGCCCTGGGTGGAACCTCCGACCAGCAGGACTTAAAATGTCCTTCCTTGACACCTTGCTGGCCTCTGCCCCATGCCACATGGCCCCCATGAAGCCAGGCTGTGGAAGAAGACGGAGCCCTGGAGAGGCTTCTCCTTCCTGCTGACACCCTCACCTTCCTGAGTGACCTTGAACTACAGGCCCAACAGACATGATTCGACAGAGCCGCAATGCCGCAGCCATCCCCTCTGCACCCCCTCCTCTTGCTGGCTCTTGATCCCCTCCCTCAGACACCATCTACTCATTTCCATGCCTTAAATCCCTCCCTTGTGGCATCTGATAGAAATGGATTCAAAGCCCAGGTCTGGCACATCAGACAGTGGGAAAGTTATCCAGCCTCTCTGACCTCCATTTCCACATCTGCAAAATGGGGATAATAGAGGCATCTTCTGCCCAAGGTTTATGGGAAGATTTAATGAGATAAAGTCTCAAATGTATATCAGAGCAGCTGGTGCTCAATAAGTACTCATACACAGGAGCTGTCTTGCCTAGCACTATTCCCTCCTGAGACAGCCCCCACTTTAAATAACGTGTATCTGTGTTTCTCCTGGCAGTGAGAAGGATGACCTATCAGGCATAGACATTCTGCTAGACCAGACATGGTCTAGGACAGTTGAGACAAACCTATGGCATGCATGCCACAGTGGACATTCTGAGACCTCTCTGTCGGAAGCTGAGCCAAGTTGCCTCAACAGCCAAGCATCAGATATTCAGGTTTAACTGCAGGGTTGGCACTTAGGGATAAGTAAATAGGCCTGGGGTTGCAATTTGGGCACTTGGTCTCTAAAAGGCTCGCCACCATTGACCTATGACCTAGAGGTCCATCTCTAGATCTTATATTGTTAAATCCAAATAGGCAACCTTGGAGAACTGACTCATATTGATCAAACTCACAGAGAACTGAGGCCCATACCAAAGTACCACCTTGTCCTTTACTTGGGGTACTGGCCTTTTTTGATAGTGAAATTCCCCTGTTATCATCCAGAACTTCTGTGTCCTGGCCCCAGGTAACTGGGACTCTGCTTGGGGAATATGGAGGCAAAGCCCCAAAGTGTAGAGCCCAAAGCCAACAGGCAGGCTGCTGCTAGAGAAAGGGGCATAAGATGAGCCTCTTGGGTGCTAAACTGAATTGTTTGATTTTAATCCTGGAGCTATAGGGCACAACTAGAAGATGAGGGGTCAAGGAATGACATCAGCCTGGCAATGGAGGAAAACCCTTTGGTGCTGAGCCAAACAGGAGTGGTCAGAGGCCGGGACCTGGGGATGGGGATGGGAGGCTTGCTCAGAGCATCATGGTGGAAAGGAGAGAGATGAAGACACATCACAGGGACATGAAGGCAAAGCTGACATTGACAAGGCTGATGACTGGTGGGTGGAAGAAGTAGGGGAAGGGAGGAGTCAAGGACAAGGCATGAAATTCCAGCCTGGATAGCTGGAGAGGTGGGAGTGCCATCCCCATATTAGGCACCCCCTCAAAGAAGTCAAGGCCTTGAGCAAAGTAATAAGATCAGTTTGGAGCATGTTGGATCTAGGTCCCAGTGGGTACTGGCCAAGTGCAGAACAGCAGGGTAGTGGCTGAGATTGGGGAATCATCATCACAGCCTTTGGGAAGTCTAGGAAATGGTGACAGGGACTCTTTCCAGGGAGAGAGGAGGTGAGCACTCAGGATAGGATGGGAACAGCACGAAGAAGAGTCAGCACAACACTTGGACCAGAAGGCTGGAGAGGAAGGAGAAGGAGAATCAGAAGGGCAGAGGTCAAAGAGGGACAGGATTGTGGGGGAGAACTCAGGGTCACAAGTACAAGAAAGTGGAGAGAAATGAAGGATGAGCAGAACCCACAAATTTCCCAAGGGTGGAAAGTCAACCCTAGTGAGGGTCCCTGAGTGCCCTGACCTGGCCTCCTGCAGACCTGTTCTAGACCCAGGAACCCTGGCCTGACTGCTAGCCCAGCCCTTAAATCTGAAGGGCCAGGGAAGAAAGAAGGAGCAGGAGGGGCCTGAAGTGATGCATACTCTCCAGGTCACAGCAAGCCATCAGTTCTGTGATCTCTCAGTTATTAAATCTCACTGTAGTATGTACGAACCTGATAAAGACTTTTACCTGGCTCATAGATGGGCCTGGACCAAAATTTGGGTGAGGAATGGTAGTGGGTAGCCTTGGTATACCATTCCTTCCCCTGTGATGAAGCAGCACTTCCCAGGTGTTCCCTCTGCTTCCCCAGAAGATCAAATAACTGATGGCTTGCTGTGGCCTAGAGAGCAGGATGACACACAACCAAAAATGCCCACTTCCTTCCTTCACCTGATTCTTCTTGCAGGCAGGGAGTACCTGACAGATTGAATTTGGCTGTTGCCCTGCACCTGGCATGAGCTGGACACACACAGAGTAGGCATTGGTGAATAATGGACACATAGATGAGTACAGATGTGCTCACCTTGCCTTGGCTGTGGGGTCATAACTAGCTGGCTTCACCTCCAGAGTATGTGAGGGGAGGGTCTGGTGTCAAGCCCATGAGCTCATCACCCACTGTGTCCCTCATCTTCCAACCAAGAACCAATTCCTCATTGTGGACTGCGTGCACTGGTGTTGTAAGGGGCCCCAACGTGTAGCCAGGAAAAGCCTTGCCCAGGCCACCTCCTTCTGGCAGAACCAGCATACTTGGAAGCAAGGCATGCTGGGAGCTCACCTGGCAGGTCAGAATGCTGGATGGCCA